CCCCCACCCCCCACACACACACTAACAGTACATCTTGTTTAAGTCCCCTTTACACTGGACGGCGCCCTTTCTGCGTCCCGCCAGTCTGTGTGGCGTAACTCCAAGTTTTCGGGATCAGACCGGCGTGCTCAGACTGCGAAGATTTGTTTTTATTTTTGAAGAAAAGTTCATTTCAAAACAAAGGCGTGCTCTATTCATTGTTTTATGCGATTTGAGAAAGAAAGAGGCACACAAGAAAGAGGCACCATCATAAAAGAAAATGATCATCGATCGAGGCAAATCTCTTTTGCTATAAATCGATTATGTGGTAAATAATTCAAATCTCACCAATTCCTATCTTTTTAAGCGTTAAATAAATAATAAAAAGACGTTGGCAAAAAGTCACTGACATGACTTACAACTACAATCCAAATTTTCAAAAAAAAAAAAAAAAAAGATTTTTCTTCTGACCGTCTGACCACGACGTCGTCCCGAGTCAGCGACACCGGTAACCAAGCAGTAACCCTATCCCCATTCCCTTCCAAGTGGGTCATCAAGTCCAGGCTAATGTCCTTCAAAATGACCCCGGTCACGTGACCTGTCGGTACTGGTCATGTTGTGGCAAACAAATAGAGCAGTCCTTTAGCAAAGCCTATGATCTCACTGCCGCCAAGCTTTGACTCGCCATACACTCTGTCCACAAATGAAATGGGAACCTAAAAAAATAAAAGTACAATGCACTGGTGAATATATTTTTAAAAAAATGCGCCAAACGAGGCCAATTACTAAATAGCAAGGACAACCGTACTGATACAAATGTAATCCAGACCAAAGAAAGAGGAAATTGCTTATTATCTGTATCGTTTAGCTCGTTTTGCTTTTGTCTCATTTTTTTCACCATGCAACAAGTTAATGTTTTTCGCTGTCAAGCTGTGCACCCACCTCGCCTATGGTGTATCCCAACTGTCTGGCCCTCACTATCATCTCCATCTGGAACACATAGCCCTTAGATACACACGACTGAACCAGCTTCTCCAACACGTCTTTCCTGTATAACCTTGAGAGAAAAAAAAAAGAATAGAGATGTACTTTAAACAATAAACTTTTTTATATAACCTTGAACAAAAAAAGCATGAAAAAATAGTGTGTGTGTGTGTGTGTGTGTGTGACACATCCATATACATATGTAAAACTGGTACCATTTCTCAGAACACATTTCCAATATAATCTAAAAAAAATCTGTTGTTAGACACATTGTTTGAGCATATATGAACAGAACCATCTTCTTCAAAACATGTTTTCTGTACAAACCTGTACTAACTTAATCAAATACTCCTAAGCAATTTCTCAGTACAAGACCAAATAACAATGTGGCAATGAAATTATTTTTTTCAGGAAAAAGTAAATCAAAATATGAGTATTGTTTGACCTTTAAGAAATAGCAGGCGGTGAATTGCAATGGCATGATAATTCAGACAATAAAAATCAAAATTAGTGATTATGTTTTAGCATCACTTTAAAAAGTGTAATGTGTAAAAAAAGTTTAAGCCTAATAATTCTGCATTCTCTTTGCTGTATTTCATCTATGTATGAGACCATGAATGCCCTTTAACTTCTTGATATAAAAATTCTTTTCATTCAATTTCATGTTAAATTGATTCTTTTCACCAATTCTAGGTCACATAATCTTCAGATAAAGCTGCACTTCATACTTAATCAAATAATCTTTCACATTGGAAGCATGTTAACACAAAATGTAAAACCTAATCTAATCCATCTTCAAAAGGAGTATATAATGACAAAATGGCAAAATAATTCAAAGAACTCATGCAGGAGGTAAATCAGTTAATAAATGAAGTTAATTCAATATCCCTGAAGAAAGATAGGTACATTAAGACCCACTTTTAAGGGAGTTTCACGAAGAAAAAGTTTCAATGATTTTCATACAAAAATCTATTTTACCCCCAGTGGTTTCTCAGTGCTTGGATTTTGAAGATAAAAAAGGATGTTTGAGCATAAAATAACAGGGCCTGCTGACTAATGTCTCGTGAACTACAGCAGGTTGAGTACAAGTGTACTTAAACAGAACTGAATGCAAATATATACTTATACAAAAGAGGACAGATAGAAACAGGTACTGTATCTTGTCACATATAGGTATGTGCCTTTCTGTTTCTCTTCTGGTTGCAGTATTAGATGTCTTTTTTCCAAGGTTAAACAATTCTTTCCAAAATTTATTACAGACTTCTACTAGTACCACTACTACTAATAATAATAATTATAATCAATGAAATAATAACATCTTTAAACATCTGAAAATATCATATTAATGCTTTTCCCTTAAATGGTAATAAGAAATCCCATAACCTCATAACCTAGCAGAAAAACTATTTTACTATTTAGCTTTTTATTTTGGATATTAATAACACCCTTATTCTTGATGGACAAGAATATAATTCATATAACACCTTAAACATTAAAATATCTGATAGTTATATTTTAACTATGATAGTTCAATCATCAAGTTTTAGAATATTTGAAAAAAAAACTTATTTAACAGGGAAAAAACAAGGATATTTAATTACCTTTAAGATACTCATAAATATCATGACCTTTATGAAAATTGCATAAGCTCAGTCTTCAAGCCAAAAGCCAGTACAAATGTTAGATGTATAAGTTGATTAAGTTATGAAACTGTATTCTTGTAATTTACCAGATAAAATTACCCATACACTTAACTACAAAGATTGTTACCTCTCTTTTTTCCTTAGTAATTTCTTGAAAAAAATGAAGAAACAAAAATGGATAATATACTTTTGCCTAATTCATTAGTATATGTCTAACCACTGTCTAAGATCTTGATTTTTGTGTTTTTGTATGCATACATATTAAAACAACTGCTTATGTGATGCACATCCTAATGGGCAGTGTTAGCTAATATATAAAATTAGCAAAGATGACCGTTTTATATCCAAGAAAGTGTGATCTGTGTGTGTATGTTTAATTTCAAGGTTATGTATTATTTTGGTACTCAATCTATCTAGTTTTATACTTTTATTTTGAAAATAGAAAGAGCTGCACACACAATTCAGCTACACGTTCGAATAATTATCGAGATGAAAAAATCCTTGGAGTCTATTTATGAGACAATAATGTAAGTTTTGGGTTGTTCTGCCTGCCTAGTCTGTTCAACATGTTGTTCAATCTGACTTGTAAATCTTGATGCCTATGCTGGTCTAAATTCAGACTTGTAGACCAAGGAGAAGTAGAAGTCTATATCAAAATTGACTAGACCTAAGATAAAATCTATGCATGATGGGAAATAATCTGAAACATCAGCTGAAATTTCAACCAGTTACAATGGAAAATCCAACTCTTTGGATAGTGCAGCACAAAGTCTACAAGTTATTTGTCTCAGACCAGTGGCTTGCTACTCAAACAGATTTCAACTTAAGGAGGTCCTCTTATAATAACTTTAGTACTTTTTCAAAACAGTGGCTAGTTATCAAAATGTAACAGGCAATAAAATAAGTAATTCATCCTTTAATGAAAGCTTTGTTGTTATTTTGATTGAAACATCATGAATATGTCAACAAAAAGTTGTGTTTAGCAAAGAACTCTTGGTTACACTTGGACTTTTAAGATGTATATGAAAGATATTACCCACTTATGACTTGTTTACAAACTTGATCATGTTTTTTGGGGATGCTGTGGATTGCACCCATTTCTTTTTATATTTTTAACTCATATGGTGAGCAGATTTAGTCTTACAATTTTTATCAAAATTGCTACGGCAGAAATTGTGTTTCTGAAATATGAGAGAGCCTCCTTCAATTTCTATTCATTAGTATGGGCCACTTGATGTGGTACCTGGGCCTCCAGCAATGACAAGTTCTCTTAATTTTTCTCCCCAACATAATAATACTTCTATGGCAGAATGCAGTGGTAAATGACTGACACCTTATCCCCTACAGATATTGGTCATGTGAAAAGTGAATGCATTAGTTGTGCCAGAGGCTACATGGTGTCACTAACCTCTACCACACTCAAATTCATTAAAATGAAGAAAATCTATGATTTCCTATTTCCCAAGCAGGAAACAGTGACCCTCTCAAAGTTAAATTCGTTGTGTGAAACAGAATGAACATTTTCACCTTCACTTACCTGAAGCTACCTGTGAGATCAGATGCACCTGGGCGTAGTAAGATCTGAGTCAGGAGATTTGCACCACGACTGAAAATGTTACAGATGTTTTAGGACATACTGATAATTTACTCTATTCAAACATAAAACCAGAGCTGAAAAAGGAGTTCAAATGTTTTAGAACAGGGTTACAGTTTATATTAGACTTAGTCAAACTTTCCACCATGGCTGAAAACAGTCCAGGTGTTTAAGGAACTGGCATACTATACACTATACAATTTTTTCAGAACATGGTCACAAATTAGCCCCAAAGCTGAAGATAGCATAGCTCTTTAGGAGAAGCGTGAATAGATCTGTAGGAGAATAGAAAACGATGCAACTGAAATTCACAAGACTAGTAAAAAATGGGAATCACCTGATGACTTTCCTCTTGAGATCCCAGCCATACACCCCTCCATTGCCCCTGTACCTTGTTCCTGACACCACGTCATAGTTCCCCTCTTGCTGCTTTCTGGAACAGTGACAGATACTGTGACTGTATCAGTAACATAACATAAACAATGCCAACACAGTTCTGCAGAATTTCAAGAATTGAAGGCTATTAGCAGTGTGAGTGACAGAATTGCCTAAAGAAATGCTGAAACATAAAATTACTGGTGATAGCTGCTGATACTTTAATGTATAAATGTTGACAGCAAAACGACGTCTTGACATAGCACAACACAGCAAAACGACACAAAACAGCAGAGCTTTGAGCAGACAACATTTTAGTAAGATCTCTCTCTACATATTTCACTGGCATTGAAAGCACAACTTTAAAAATAATATCACTGCACCAGTGAAAGTAGCAACATATCAATAAAAGTTATTTTCTTAAAATGAAAAGCAATAACGTCACAATGTCAGCACAACAAGACAGTTTTCAAAAAATGGAAACCCTATCTCTTTTCACTGTCTACTTGAATTTGCTTTCCTAGTTTGTATTTTCACCCGTTTCATATGCATTAATTATGACACACCTATAAATTAACTATGATTCTGATAAAAACAGAGACCAGAACAAACAATGAGATGTACTTACTTTATAAACTCAGGAATAAATTTTGGCTAAAAAAAAAAATCAAATTGCAGTTATATTAGCAATTACTGGATGAAAAAAAACACATTATATATTTGTACATAAAACAATGAATTTTGTGCTGTAAGTTACTTTTTACCCTCAATAGTTCATGGCAGTTAGTTAATAACCTGCCAACTGTTGCAATGTAGAGACCAAGTGTTATCAAATAAAATTCAATAAAATAAAATAATTAAACAGACAGTTCAAAATTAATGTAAATGTAATTAATGTAACACAAACAGGTAGCATATCAAAGATGGCTTCCCTCTGTAATAATCTCTTTTACAAAAAACACTTATAAACAACCAAGTGACCAACTCTGAATGTGGGAACAGATTCATTAACCATTGGTTAACATGGGTACATAATTGTTTACCCCAGGAAAATCTAATTTTAGGCACTTTTCTGCAAAAATGATAGCTGTTATCCTTGAAGTTAAGTTTATTGTGTCTATCAGTGACACCATTGCATCCACTTACGTGGTGTGAAAGGTCAGCATCCATTATAAAGACAAAGTTCCCAGTTGCATGCTTTATACCATGTATGTACGCCGTGCCCAGTCCAAGCTTCTTAGCACGAGGGCGCAGAACCTGGCAAAGAAATCAATCAGTGTAAAATAAAAATTCTTTTGCTATACTGTCTGGCAATGGTTGCACTATTATCATGTACTATTCTTATTTCAAAGTAAATAAAAAGTGATGTTGATAACTAAAACTTGTGAAAGCTTAAAATGAAAGGTTTTGCACTGCCTCACTTTCCAACAATAAAATGTTGGAGTGTTTTGTATTGCGGCCATGTGCAGTGTCAGGCCTACCCAACTACCAGACTCGGCACCGAATGATCCCAAATTCACCGGTAGATCGGACCACACTACCAGTTTTCAAGGTGTGTATCAGTACGCATTTCACAGTATCATACCTCGAACAAATTTTGCGTGGTGATGCAATACTTTCCAACCCCGCTGAGAATCACCACTATCACATCACGTACTAGGCAAGAGCAGTGTCGCGTCTGATACTTGGAAGCGCGTACTGACGCACACCTTGAAAACGGGTAGTGTGGTCCGATCTACCAGTGAATTCAGGATCATTCATTGCCGAGTCTGGTAGTTGGGTAGGCCTGAGTGTGTAAAACAAACCTTGCAAGATAGCAATGGATACCCAAGTATGCTGAAAAGACAACAACTACACAAGGTACATGAACACTTTAGATAATCTTTTAACTGAAGTGTTTTATTGTCTTGAGAACTCGTCGGTGAAATATAAGATGCTTTACTAACAGTACATCACTGTACATGAATATGAATGTGGGGGATTTTCAAATGCATGGAGAGAACTTCTAAAAATAGCAAAATACATTTTGGCAGGAAAATCCCCTGAAGTGACCCTTTAATGTCGAGCCCTAAACTTTTGTGTGAGTTCTTCAAGAAAATGCCCCCTTATAGCAATTTCCTCATTAGTTTTTTTCTTTTTTGCATTTCCCTCATTTTTTCATTAATTTCCCAAAGGGGAATGTAAAATTTGACATAGATTTCCCTGAGTTTGCAATAGATTTCCCATGTGAAACATGGAAAGAAATATTTTAATAATAGTTCCTAGCGAGCTGACAGCATATAAAATTTCTGCTGCAGGTCAAGCCCACACTGTTTCACTACACATCATGATGTAGGACATAAATCATAATTGTTATCATGATAAACACTGAAAATCTGCATGATGGCTAGGAGCAAACACAGCACACCTGCTGCTGATTGTGCACAATGCACAGGTGGGAAGCAGAACAGAACTGAACTGAACATATAAACACACACGCACACACACACTAGTACTAGTAAATAAGATCATGGACTTGACAAACTTACTATCTTTTCTTTGCCATAGATTTTCTCTAGCTGTTTTGCCACTTCCAGGGTACCATCTGGGCTGCCATCATCTATCACTATTATCTCAAACTGGTGTCCACTGGGGGAAAAAAACAATAATATGAAATTAGGATGAAGTGAAGTATTTTCAAAATGGCCACCTATTTCTTTCTTAGCTCAGGAGCTGCAGCTAAAGTATTTCGCCATAACAGATAATGATTTATTGAGTTTCAAAGGACAACAACTAAGGAAGATTGTTTTTTTTTTTTTTTTGCAAAAAATTGAATTTCCTGGGATAAACAATGGTTTTCCTATAGTTCTTGCCAAAGGTTAATGAATCCAATATATATATTTTTAGAACAGTTTAGTTTTTAGTAATAATCTGTTTAGAGATAATTTCAAAAGTATAGCCATCTATGAAGGTCCACATGGTCTGATGGCAAGCAAAGAATCCAGAATAATTGCAATAACTGCTGTTTTTGTGGTTAAATTCAGTTTCTATGAGATGTTTACAATGTTTTTTAATGTGAAACGGGAATCTGATATGCACAGTTGTTATCCCTTTAAGATAAATGTATTTTGGGTGTAGAATCTATACAGCAAGTTATTTTGATGTTTAAAGCAACACCAAGGAGCAATTTGTGTCATTTAGTGTCATTTCTGTATTCCCTGACAATCAAATTTGTTGACACATTTGCCTTGCACTGGTGTCACTAAACCTTTGCAACATCCATACCTAAGGAATGCTTTTTTTAAATATATGTATACTCATCTATAAACAGTAGTTATTTGCATGTTGCACATTCACTGCACTAAAGGAATGGCTAAATATCACTGACAGTTATTGTGTCGTGTCATGGTGGCTACATCTCCAGCACTGATATTCCCTGCACCAATACTCCAGTGCACCAATACTCCCCCACATTTTTACTCCCAAACAGCAAAGATCAGCCGATAGATTTCCTTGGCTTTGGTTACAAAGTGACAGATGTCCAAAACAATTCTTGATTTTAAAATCTTTCTGTACATATTTTTTAAAGCGCGCCCTTTTGAGACCCAAAATTGACACACTTTATTTGGAATCTGGTGGAAAAGTAAGGAAACATTTACTAAATTTGGTCTGCTTTGTAAATTCACACATACAAATTAACATGAAGTCAATCACGTCAGACTTTTTGTGCAGCTCCACCATACAGCTCTTTTTGTAATTTTTAAGAAATGTCACTTCGTTTTCGACGGTGGTTACGGGATACGGATAACACACATTTTTACTTGATAGTGTAGTGCCAGGGGCAGGTAGAACCAGCCGGGTAGCTCAGTAGGTAAGAGCACTCGCCCTGTAAGCGAGGGGTCCCGGGTTCGATTCCTGGTCTGGCTGGTGATTTTTCTGCACTCACCCCAAATCGCTACAATGGTGGCAGCGGTGTTGCGAGATAGGGCTCGCGTCTTTTGGCATTTGGGGGGGAGGAGTGTAGTGCCAGGGGCAGGTAGAACCGGCCGGGTAGCTCAGTAGGTAAGAGCACTCGCCCTGTAAGCGAGGGGTCCCGGGTTCGATTCCTGGTCTGGCTGGTGATTTTTCTGCACTCACCCCAAATCGCTACAATGGTGGCAGCGGTGTTG